GGGGGGGGGGTGGGTGTAATTTGAAACGAGCCCACAGGAGCACCGCGGACGAATAGAGAGGGGGAGGGGAGGAAGGGGAAAGGAACAAAACTAGAATCCTCGAGCGGGAGACGCGTATTATACAGGCACGGAATTTTTGGGTGGCCACTTGGGTGCGCGGTGACGTACAAAGTGGGGCCCGTGCGGTTTGTCTCGCCGCGGAGGTGGCGGGAGAGCGCGAAAATATCATACTTACCGCGCGTGGGAGAATGGGACGTGTTCGACAACGAGGCTCGTATAACCTACGCTGCCGAGGATGTTATTTTTATTTTTTCCAACATTTGGCAATTAATATTAACATCAGTGGAACTGTGCTTGTATGTGTTCATTTTTTGTATTTTCGTCGATTGCGACTACAATAAGAGATTTAGAAAACAATATTCGATTTTTTTATTTGATTTACCTTTTTGCACTTGCAATTTATAAATTCAAACCTTATATAATAATTTTATCAAAAAACACATGGTTTTTTTATAATATTTAGTAATTTACAACACAGACCAATTGTATAATCAAGATTATATATATATATGTTTAAGTAATGGAAAAAAACAAGATTTATATACGAGTTTTGTCTAATTGTTATTTGATCTCTACTGCCATAGTACATTAAAAACAAAAATGATTAATAACAAAATCGTATAAAATCGCTTACTCAATATTTAATGATAACATCATTCATTTGGAATAAAAACAAACATTTTACAGAATGTGACGTTTAAAAATGCTTGATTCATTCACATCGAGATTTTCAAAGATATTCAAAGTATTTTTCAATAAACTCTTTATTAATCTTATCGATCTATATGAAAGAAAAAAAAAAAATGTTGAACAACGTTTCATAACATTGATATTAAATTTATAAACTTGCAAATAAAAACTAAAAAGCTACTTTAGATATTGCACATAAATTTTTATATATTACAGTAAGAGTATTTCAACATCTTTTTTCTTAACCGCTGATTTAAAAATAAAAAAAAGCACTTCTTACATTTACAACACGTTTCTGCCTAAATATTAAAACAGTCAGAGATAAGTTGTAACAAAAACAAACAGTTATAAAATCAATGAAAAAAAAAAAAAAATATATATTTAATAAAATTGTAAAATCAAAAGATCTCAACTCTTTCTCGTAAACTATCATGTTTGTAACATTTATTTTAAATAATCTCATTAAAGGAAAAACCCATGACACCTTTTTCTCGTCACTGTTGCCCATGAGGTTCAGATGAACGATTGCACTAGCAAATGATCGGATCGATATCCGGAATGAATTGTTCAATTACGAGTATTGCGCACGTGGAAACTTTTCAAGCACATTAATTCTCATTCGAGCGTAAAAAAATATATCTTTGTTGGCTTTATGCGTAAAGTAGTCCCGTTGGCTCGTCTATAGTATCATTGATTCAAGAAAATTTTACATGCAGTATAAACACTCTTTTTTTTTTTTCTCTCTTTTCTAGTATTGTATAAAATTTTCTCAAATTGTCCATTATCAAGTATAGTATCTCATAGTTGCGAGTAATTTATAGGTATTTTCATGCAAGACCCTAAAATCATAATCGACTCGTACTTCCTCCCAATACATATAATAGTTATGAAAATCGCACACGTTTCCACACACCAGCAACAAAATGTTTGGGCTAAAAAAAAAGTTCCCTTTTCTCGTTTGGCAAATGCTACTGCAACCTCATAGACGCATACAGACAATGTGTACATGTATGAAAAAAAAGGACGATTCGCCAGTGCAATCGCTCGTCCACCCGGGAACAGCGCATCTTTGCCATTGCAATTACAGTTTTAAATATCAACATCTACACAACGACGCCAGCGATCGAAATGAAAAAAAAAAACTTCAAGCCTCGTCGTCGCTGCTGAGGAGAAACGTCTTCTCGTTGTAATTCTGGGATATCGTCGCTACGCCCCGTTGGTTGTTGCCGGGAATGTTGCGTCGCTGGGGCGGCGGGACCGGCATGTTCTGCGGGTCGTCCGGGTCGTAGCTCGAGACTCGCATGCCTCGCTGGCTCTTGGCGCCGCCTCCTACAGACGAGTAGGTATATTGTACACGTTGTTTGGCACATCGAGTGTTATACACAGGGGTCGACGCTCCCTTTTTTTTTTAATTAACGTGTTATCAAGTGGTCTTGGCTTTCTTTCGTTAACAATCAATTGTTGTACTCGAAATAAGGTCGCGTTAGATAATTATATTTACGGATTCGGCTATACAACAGGATATGTACACCAGTTGTGTGTAGCAGGACGCAATGATAAAAATAAGGAGCACCAAGTGCGCGCGACCGTGATGTTTTAACATTCATGAATAAATCGCTCGTTGCAGCGCGCGAGCCTTCGTACCATTTAGATTGGACTTATACTCCCCGAGGTAAGTATTTACATAACAAGAGCACAATATTTACCTGCTCTCGTGATCCGCGACTCGCGAGCGAATTAATTGCATTTTATTTTTAGATCCTGGCATTGCGAAATAGTTGCGTGACAATTGAGCGGAAATTCATTGTGAATTATTATAAAAATCGCGCTCACAATCAATGCACGTGTTGTATTTTTTTTCTCGTGGAATTTGAAAAAAGGAAAGTGATCTTGGTAAAAAAAAGAAAAAAAAAAAGATCGGGACAATCCACAGTGAAATCCTTGCAGAGGCTGTAATGGCACATATTTACGCATTTAAGAGTGTACGTTTCAAGGGCACGACAACGACCGTATTCCAAAACACGTATTGCCACACAAAATAAAACGCTGTAGTTTTTCGGTCTCGTACTTATATTTTATAGAGTATTCGATTAGCTTCGTGTTTCGCGTCCGAGCCGATATATACAGCATTTAATCGTCGCGATAGTGCGAAATGAACGCTCGATTCCATCGATCGAAGCTATTATTTTTTTCCTCGTTACACAGCACAAACCATGTTTTAGTTATATAAATCGATTTTGTACTTTGCGCGCGTACGACGTGAGATATGGAAAAGCGGAAAAAAGGCCATTTGGACTAATGCGTATCTGGAATTTTTTTTTTATAACTAAATATAATGTCTTATTTTATAAATAAGTTCAAGCGTCACTCCAGCTGTGGATCGATGTAGCCGAACAGTGTATTGAACCGTATATACGTGGCCGGGAAGTAGTGCTTTGAAAATCAACTCGATCAACAATGTATGGAAGAAATAAAAATACTTACAGTAAAGTAAATTCAAACACCGTGCAGTATTAGTGATTTTGAGTGCCAACCTCTGCCTTGTCTTACACCATAATTAATTAACCCATTCGTGACGTGCATTCATTCCGAATAATAGTTTTAAAAAAATTCCGGGCAAACGGGTTATTTAATTAAACTCAATTATTTTGTTTGGCTTATTTGTATAAATTTTCTATTGCATTGATATCAGCACCACTATAAATCACAATCACGCACGCAAATTTTGCAAAGCACTGCTTCGACGCATTTTATTTTAATAATACATCAAATAATTATGAAAGATAAGAAAAAAATACAAATATACATGTAGGTATAGGTATGCGTAGCGCAAAAAAAGAAAACACCACAGAAAAAATAAAACATGATGATGGTTTCCCGGATATGTACGAAAATAAATATTGCATTCTCAGCAAGTGAAGTATACTTACTATATATTTCATGCAATAATGCGGGGAAAAAAAACTTTACTTTTTCGTCAAAAATATAAATTTACATTTCGATATTTTGCTTCAGGGAATATTAAAGAATGCGATTTAACGCAACGCTTCAATGTTTTTTTTTTTTTCTACAAGTGGAAGTGGGGAAGAGGGAACTATAAAAAAAAGGACAATCATAGATTCAAGCTGGCAAATAGTAAAATCATACGTCGTGCAGGAGACATTGACCTAGAAATGTTCTCTCGATACAATCTCGCGTATGTTCTTGCATTTATCAAGTAAATCCACAATTTTTTTTATGCATGAAATAAGTAATTGTCACTGCATGCCAAGTTGATGACTAACTCACGCAATTGGAAAAAAATATATGCAATGGAATTTTTACATGTTATTTTTAAAAAGTATGATGAGTCGAGGCGAAATATCTTGTTGGAACCAGCAAAAAACCAAATATTTGGATTAAGAAACGGTTTTTTTTATTCTTCACATTTAATTTTTATTGAAAAGCAACATACATCATGAGTATGCACGATAATCTGTGCTTGCTTCATTTTTTTTTCTCTCTCACTCGAATGAATGTTTATCTCTTTTATATCGTTATTTAAGTACGTAAATAATGTTATGTGCTTAAGAACTATTTATATTACACACTAAAAAGGCTTGTTAATAAAAAATTCATAATATAAATGACTTGAAAATAAAGTTTTTACTTATTGGTCTTTTTGATACAAATTTTACTTTTCTTGTTTCAAGTGACAAGTATTCGTATAAGTAATCAAATCATCAAAACTACAAAATCAGATTCGTTATGTTGAACAACGTAAAAATAAATCGTAAATTTTTCATTTTCTTAACCAATTTGGCTTTATAGTTTTTTCAAATCTTTGTTAATAATTTAATAATTATAATAATAATTTTTCAGCTATTTATACAGTAACAAAATTAAAAAAAAAAAAAAAAAATCAAATTGTCTAAGTACCATATCATCTATTAGACACATGTAAACGTACAAAATACATGCCTTAGGAATGTGAAAAGTTTCATGAATAACTTAAACTAAGTACTTGTTTGTAAGTCTCTTCTAAAACACTTTGAAATTGCGTCAATTTCATTGTATCGTAGTCGTCCGTAAAAAAAAAAAAAAAAAAAAAAAAAAAAAAAAAAAAAAACGTTATACCCTGCATCAAAGTCAGCGAATTCTCGGAACGGAATATCTAAATTTTGGTCATGATGAGTAATTAACTACACATTGAACTGAAAATTCGCTTGAGTGTGTATTATAGGTATATAATTTTTAACCGAAGTTTTATAAATTTATCGCAGCAAAAGGTCAATTAAGTAGGTACTTACAAACACACTCTGAGAATAGTTGTCGCGCATGAATGAACTGGCGAAAAATTCTCTCAATTTTTTTTTTTTTTTCGTGTTTCGTGTATAGATATAAACACATACATGTGTATATTATACATATGCATCCGAGTTAATTTGCGTGGCTGTGTTGTTTTTATTGTACATAAATATTTATATATATATATTTTTTTTTATTTAAGTTTTGCTCCTCGAAACCGTCCAAAGAAGTCCGACGTGCGTTGAAAGAAAAATGTATTTGCTAAGCACCTTTGGGGCTTTAGCTCTCTCACAGCTTTTCATACGGCAAGTTGGTATTGACGTCTGGAAAAAAAATAGGCAAAACAATGCACCTTCTACCGTGAAACAGCCTCATTCATTTGTGAATCACTTCCTTTTTTTTTTTGCTTCTCCTTCGTTTTTGTTATTTCGTCATTTTTTTGTGATATTAATTACTGTGAGATTTTTTTTTCTTTTCATTCACATACGTGTTTGCTTTATTCTTGACGTCGACATTGTTTGTAAGATTTAACTGAAGAAAACACAATCAAGCGTACGATGTTCCATTTATTGTGGAACAAGTCAAATTACACATAAGTCGCAATCTTTTATTTTTTGATGTAACAATTCACTTATCCAAAATTTTAAGTTATTTAGTAGTTTTAATGGAAATTAAATATTAACTTCGTCGAAAAGTAAATAATAATTTAAGAATCAGAGCATTAATAAAAATTTTTAAGACTTTGTATCGATTATAAGTATTGAAATCTAGAGAAAAGTTTAAAATAAAAGCTTTTTATGTCAGTTTTAAGACACTTTACGCCAAAAATAAATGGGCACATTTTTTCTTATACATTTAAACGTGTGATTAGCAAGAAGAAAAGCGTGGAGCGTTTTTGCGTTATTTTTGGGGAGCACGAGTGTCACAACATACATTTCGACCAAAGAAAATTTGAAAAAAAAAAAAAAAAAAAAATTTCGCGTCGGTGCGATAATTTCATACGGTATTAATCGACGTGTAATATTTTTCGCTTTTTACCCAACGTGTGCGGGAGGTGATCAATAATGATAGTTTCATCGTGAGTTTGGTGATGTCAAGTGCTCAATAAGTACTTGATGCTAAATAATTTGTGTCGTGCATTATTTTTTTATGTACAATAACAAGCTAGTTGTGCTTCAGAAAAAAATATACATAGTAAAATAGAAAAAAATCGCACTTGAAAAATCATGCTTTGTACATGTAAGAATTTTATCGAAATCATGCTTTCACACACAAGGTTATCGTGAAAAATAAAAAAAGCACGTCAAAGCAGACGATAATAATACATGTATATAAAATAGCAAGAAGAGCGTGAAGCAGAATTAAAATACACCACTGCTGATAACGAAATCGTTTGGAAAGTTTTTTTTCTGAACAATATAATATTGATTGCTTCCTATAAAAAATTAGAGTGTAAAAATTAGGTATTTAAAAATTTTCCACTTTCAAATGCAAAAATTTTATTAATATAATTGAAAATAACGATATTACTTTTTTTTTCCTTGGGCCAATTATAAAAAAGAAAAAAAACTTGCCAAATTTACGAGCGAACGCGCTCTACAGATAAAATATAAAACATGATTAGTAAACTTACCGGAACTGTACTGCGTGTACTGCTGATACTGTGGATGGAAGTTGTGGATGGCATCAGTCATTATATCTTTTGGATTTATGGTTTCCTAGTAAAAAATTTTTTTTACATTGAATTTATGAATATTTTACGCCTCCGATTTATAGTGTAATAGTTGGGAACTGAGTCAAGCGTTTTACGAGCAATTACATAAATGCCAGTAAAGCAAGAAAATTTATTTACGTGGGATGTAACAAATTGTTCGATCACCTAATGAAATAAAAGTGAATTATTTTTAGAAATATGGCAAAACAATTGGACAACGTTTAAGCAAAGAATAAAAAATGTTTCGAAAGTATTAGCTAGAAAAATGAAATTGTTGTGAAGTAACCCATTTATGCGATCGCGGTACTTGAACGAGAAAATGTAATACAACTCAGCACCGAATTGTACGACAAAATGCAAGTGTCTTGAGCATAATCTGAAAATAATTCAACACTCTTTCGCTTAGACAACATATTTTGACAACCACCTATTAACGAAAAAGAATCATATAAAATAAAAACAGAGGGAGGGGTTGAGTACAATTTAAAGGTGTATCGAGGAATCGAGGGCTTTGACATTCGGTCAGTGAAGCACGTGTCTTGAATGCCCGCACGTGCTTCCTCAACCAGTTCGCAACGTGCACGCCTATCTTACCTTGAGACTACTGCTGATGCTCTGCATGGTGACGCTCCTGCCCCGAGAATCCGTAGTGCAGCCGGCCGCGTAAACCTGGTAGGGGAAAGCGTAGCGCAGCGCGATGGCTGCGAACAGCATTTCGATGCAGATGAGAAAGTTCTGGTATCCGGCCGAGACCGTGCCAGCGCTCGTCGACTCGCCCCGGCTGTTTATCACCGGAGAGATGAGGTTTGCCTTTTCCAGCACGGCCAGCAGCACGCCTGCAACGAACAAAATACAACCCATTTCTTTTTTTCTCTTCCACATCTGGTATTTTTAGTTTTTCAAGAATGCGGGTCGTCATCGTTATTTATTCAACGAGTTCATTCACACCTGCACTCCGATTTCAGATGGCAAAGAGATTTTTCTTGTAATAAACTTAAGTGCATAATTTCGGTCACCCTCATATTATTTGTCTTTTTAGTTTTTATGTAACTGAGAGGAATTTCTTCATGGGAAAAATTCTAATGAATTTTTTTTTTTTTAACAATTATATAATCTAGAAAGTGTATCCGCTTATACAAGCTTGATATCGCACCAATTTTTTTTTCTCTCAATTTAAGAAGGTTGACGTATATTTCAATGATTTACGAGACTTTAAAAAATTTATCTTGTCTTTGCAATAGTTGCGTTTTGCAAAAGAAATTTAAATAAAATGGAGTTTATGTCATGTTTTTTTGGTCACAGGAATAAGATCATAAAATACAAAACATACCTTGCCAGAACGACAGGAAAATGACACTCTTGACTGTGCAGAACTTGAGAACAGGGTCGAAAGGTGTGAGTAGGTCCTTAATCGCAAAGTAGAACAAAAATAGACCGTAGAGCGCAAGAGTGACGCTAATATTGTAAATGATCGTTATGTATAGGTAACCGCCGTCGGGAGACCAGTCACCATCACGATAGTGTCCAAAAGACTGTAGAATAATGATGACAAAGGCCATCACAGGTTTGACCAGACAAAACTGCAGCGTAGCTTGCTTGCAGAATCGCAGGAACCCAATAGTATACGTCTTGCCGGTCAGACAGTACGTCCCATAGAGGCAACTCGACCTGATGGGTTTGCCTCGAATTTCCGACATTATGTTACCCTCGCCACCCAAGTACTCATAACAGAGCGACAAAAAATTGTAGATGACGAAGGCCTCGTAACAATCGCGCACCGTGAAAAAGTACACATAGTAGCTCTCATTGTTGAAGAAGAGCAGAGATACCCAGGAATACGTCGCATAAATCGGCACTATGAACAGTATCCTCACGATCCATCGCTGCTCTGCGGCATTTGTGTACCACCTCAGGTGTTGATAGATTTGTTGGCAGCTGATAAACAGGGCTGCCCAAACAAAGGCACCTGCTAAACCTGAAATTAACAATTTTGGTTGTTTTGATAAAAGGTAAAAACTGAAAACAATGCCACTCTCATTTTTAAGACTTTTAAAGTGTACACATGCACCTACCTTTTGCTACTTGTGTCTGTAGGAAAATAGGAGTAACTTCACCCTGGTCTTCAACTTTGTAATTTGTTATACTGGACATTGTAGAGGCGTTTACAATAGAAGGTATTGAAGCTTCACTTGTCATTTTAATCGTTAATCTGCAACACAAAGAATAAAATATTTTATGTAGGTATTGCAAAAATTAAAAAATTTGTATTTGATAGCGCGATAAAATTGCTTAAGACTGCAGATAGATATAGATATTTATTCATATGTTTTCAGATGAATGATTATTGAAATTCTGTTTCTGATTTGTAATATTACCAATGAATTTACTCGAGGGATTAATGTTAAAAATAAAAGATACGTCACTTTGCTGGGACTCTTGAGATATCATTGATGAAAACTGGCTTTATGGTGCTCTTACTGCACTGAATAACAAATAACTTTTAAAATATAACAGGAGTTTGTAAATTATGTTGTTTATTAACTCAAGTTAGACTAAGTTGATAAATTATAATACACCGTCTTTAAGTATCACTGTTAAGTTGTTCACAAACATGAAAAATCAACCATAGTAACATACGAGAACTACTTATTTATTTTGGAATTTTGCTTGCTTACTCGTATGATACAAACATCTGTTGAGAAATTTCTTTATATCAAAACAACATATTCTTATCTATGACTCTACTGCTATATTTAGCTCGGCCATTGTAAGTTTTTGTCATTGATACACACTCTCAATCTGAAATTTCTCAAAATAATTCATTAAAAATTCATTTTGTCCCACAGAAAATAACTGTAAGCATCACATCAACGCTGAAACCATTTTGAAGAATGTATTTGAGAACGAAACAGCTGTCCTCAAAATAATTACTCATCAATTCATCCACAAGTACTTAAAGAACTTACAAAATTAAAAGTGACGAAAGCGCGTACGCTTGAGTGTAGTTAACGATAATCGATACGCACACAGGCGCGCGTTTCTGCCATTCATTTTCTTCCCCACTAAATCAAGATACTTTTGTTCATGAAACGAAATCTAGAAGACGAGAGATGAAAATATATTCACTATCACTCAGGCAGACTCACGCATGCGATGAGTCTGTGATACACAGGGAGAATAACGAATACTGTTTGATGTGGACAAGAGTCGCAAAACATCGCGGAATCCGCTCTCTTTTTCTCCTCTTATAAGTATACAACTACACCATTGCATGCACCACCGTGGAATACCAGCCAGACCAGCTCTCTCATATAATCCTTATCCCTCTCTCTTTTCTTGCGAATACATGTATTCGCTTTTGCCCATGGGTATACATACTAGCTACCTTGGTAACTATCTCTCTTGCTCTCATTCACACGACATTCTGTCTAACTGTCTCGGTTGCGTATTATGTAGGTATCCCGTTTTGTTTTCTCTCTCTTGATCGGTTGATCCTGTAAAATTACATTGCATGCATGCATTCACCCCTATCACACACCCTGACTTTTAAATTGTTGGTTAGTATAATTTGAGAGGAATACAAAATAAGGAGCCAAGGACTTACTCACCTGTCTCAATATTCCTCTTCTTTTTGTAGGTATACCTATATATGCTGAGGCTTTCGAATACCTACTACTTGATTGCCCTGAGAAATGTTACTGAAAACGAAGGTCGTCGCGCCCGTTGCTTCTTTTATCGCACTTTTTATGCGATGTTCCTTACTAAGTCTCTCCTTTCCTTTGCGGATGACGTGCGTTCTTCTGCTCGCTCGTGTACAACCTTCCGGGAGGATCATCCGACATTTCGCGTCGACGACGGCATGTTTTCCCTTTTTTTTTGTTATTCGCACTTTTCACAAGAACCACACACATTCACCTTCACGAACCACTCTTTTTACACTTTTAGGATGGACGGAACAGTACAGCTCATTGTTATAAATGCGGCATCAAAACCAGATCGTACACAAGCCGAGGATCTAACTATCTAACAAATGAGAACGTGCGGTAAACTATGAGGAATGAGGACACGCAGACTGTAAGTGTTGATATGACAGGCAGGAGAGTTGAGTTCAGACTTAAAGCATTAAAGTTGACGTCGTCGACGTTGATGTGGTCACCCTTGGTCAGTGAGCTCTGAGTTGTGAAGTTGGTCGCAGAATACCTAGCTATCAGTTCTTTTGATCTTGATCGAGAGTATCGAGACATGGCATACGATATATCGAAAGGTCGACGTAATGTGACGTAAACCTAACCTCTTCATCAAAAATGACGTGTCACAAGTCACAACTGTCAAGTGTCAAGTTAAGCAGACGATTTTGCGAGATATCGATTAGAGTCGATATAGTGACGTTTTCAAATGAATCGCGCATTCGCGCGCCCTTGACTTGACGACTTAATAAAAATTTTCAATTTTAAAAAAATAAGTAAGTACGACATATCCTTTAACGAATGTCGTTGTTGACTCTTAAAGTAATTGAATCAAGAATCGATCTGCGTCAGGTGCGATTCTCCCGAGTCAACGCCCGACAGGGAAAAAAAACGTCACCAATGTTAAACAATAATAATTACTGCGCCGATTTTTACCTATCAAACAATGACTTATTTTTTTTTTTTTTTTTTAATTCACTTACCAGTGATAAGAATTTAAAATAATGACCAGTAAGTAAAAAATTTCAGTGCGGAAATTACAAAAAGATCGCGCTTCGTACGATCTGTTCCTTTGACATTAATTTAAAGTTAAATAACAAACCCATTTTAATAATTACTCGTGTACAAACTATTTGAATCGCCAAGTTGGTCTACTGTTGTATGAGAGCTCTACTTATAGCGTAATAACGCTTTTATGGAGTAAAAAAAAGTGTTAATTACAGAAAAGTTAAAAAAAAAGTGTTAATTACCTATGTACACGTAGATTGATAATGTTCATAAAACGATTCATGACAAAAACGTATATTTAAAGAAAAGTAATCAAAATTTTACAGGTACGTATTTGCTTAGGTGTTATCGTACCTCATCGAGTCAGTCCAAGTGATAAGAGCGGTAAGTTATACTCGCGACGACGCGACTTTTTTGATAAAGTTCAGCAGCTGTGCAGCGAGCGCGCCCTGCCGCCGTGTGTGCGTGTGTGTGCCTCCCGGACTCGGAGACTGGAGAAGAAAGAGAGAGAGAGAGAGCATATATATATATACATATATGCAATGTATATTCTGTATTGCAGCAGGAGGTTGCAGTTGCAGACGTATAGCAATATTAGCAATGAGACAATTCCCCCTCCTGTTATTCACATACCTATACTCCTGCACCACGATATTAATTTATTATTGTTATCGTGAGCAACGATGCTGTTGATGATTATGATGACTATGGCTGCAGGAGTACTGTTGCTGTTATTTTTGCGATCTTGAAGACTGGAGGCTGCTGGAGAGGATTTCGAAAACTTTTGTCGTGGATCAGTGCAATGGTGTTGTAACGAGTAAGGACCAAGTCCAAAGGAGTATATTTTATTGAATATGTGTATTAGTGTATATTATTAAAAATTTTTTTGTGCTGTGCTCTGTTATTTTTCGTTTACCAAGTTCTCGTTTGAGCAGCAACTTAAACGAAGAAGGTGACTAATTGTTATACCTCCAAAGCGGAGTCGAGTGTGTATTACCCTCGTAGTACCTACATGTGCGATTGTATTTTTGTAGGTACCAAATACCTTATATTTATATTCGTACATACGCGAATGACGCGCAAGCTACCTTCTTTTATTGCCTTTCTTTTCCTCGTTTATGTACTTCTCTTTTTTTTTCTTATTAAACTCTCGATTAATATGCGACGTACTTGTCGTCAAGTGAGTGTAAGTACCTACATGCAGGGCACATAATTTAACTAATGTTGTGAAAATTTTTTTTTCTACGTGTTTTGTTTGATGTGTCACGACTTAATCTGATTGGAAATTTTCTTAAAGCACTTGAACAAATACTTATTATTTTTTTCTTATAGGTGATTTAAATGTGTGTAAAAATAGTTTGTAGATGAGTTCTAGTTTTTATCAGTTCTCTCCAGCGTTGATTGTGAAGTTACAGTGGTATTTTGAAATTTTAAGGTTTAAGAGCACCAAACTAGTCAAGAATACGTTAATTGATTGTTTAATTATTCTGTGATGCCAACAAATGTTTAAGAAAGTCCTGGACAACTAGGGTAGTCTAATCTGATAATCATGACCTAGATAGCTTTCATGTTTTTTGGCACTTGACACTGAAATCGTATCCATTTGATCACTTAGATACTTTGAGCCAAGATGCTTTATTTTTTAGTCTTAAATATCTTTCTGTGTTTATTCAAGGTGAATCCAACTAAAATAGTTGAAGTGTGTTTGTGCATGTTTTTCTGTTGATGAAACCGATCAAAAATATAATTATGATTATTAAAATGTAAAATGATCTGTAATAAAGAAAAACGTTTTATTTCCAGCAACGCCTAAAAAAGTAGTATAAAGTGCTGTACACGTTCACATGAATGCGTGTGCATGCACACTCAAAGGTTCCAGAGCAATGGGGACATGGTGAACGATGAGTTCTGGCATGGGTTCCCAAACCTTGGAGATTTTGCGCCAGGGCATCTGGGCAAGTCTCACAGGAGGCTGGTTCTATGATCCCCACCTGGATGTTTTCTCCAACACCTTTCATCTTTATGTTTGGCTCTTTTTGCTCTGTCTCCCTTTTACCATCTATCTTGTGAGTCAAATACATTAATTAATTTCCACTCTGTTATCTTTATTTTTGCAAAAAGTTCGTTTGCACTGGTGATGAATTTATAACAAGTTTCTAATGGTTCAATGGTTACTGACATTTAAAAGTCTTTTTTCTAATATTTATTTCTCAAGTAATTGTGTTGATATAAATTTTAACATATTTTTTATACACAATGTTTAAAATTAATTAAAGCACTCAATTACCATAGCTTTAGTTCCACATAAAAAATATTAATTATTGACTTTCATTTTATCACCCTCTTCATGATTGAAATCTAAAATGATCAAATGCCAGTATAGATAAGCAAAGTCAGTTAATACATTTTTCCTCCCAAGTATTTTCCGCCGTCGTTGTACGTTTGGTTGTCCTACTGCTCGACGATCATCCTGCTCTTTGGGACCATCAAGTGCATCAATCATGCGTTACATCGGGTCTACGACACGAGCGAGTGCCTGGAGGAGCCGAACCAGAACATCAGCCTGCAAAAGCTCGAGAGCGAGAAGAAGAGAGATTCTCGTACCAAAAGACGGGAGCAGCCTCAGGATAACGATTTCTTGGGCATCGAGCTCCAGGTCTTGAATGGTTTGTATACATTTCAATACTCGATACCGTAATTACATTTTTTTACCGGAGAATTGATTGGAATGTTTGTTTGTCAGGTAAAACCAACACCCCGCCTGTGGAGTGCTCGTCGAGAAACTCGTACATTGAACCGAACGCTCAGAACGCCGATGCCGATAGCATAACGTCCGATTACACGAGAGATAAACCAAACTCGACCATCGATCTAAAGGTCGAGATTCATCGTAAAAACAGTTCTGAGAGTTCAGAGGAGGCTGCCCAGTTAAACAAGCCGATCGTCACTAGTATTAATGTACACGAGGCTGAACTGGTGTCGGAGCAGGATCACGACCAAAGCATCTACAGGAACCAAGTTTACAGTAATTATTTCAATTTTGATATAACAATAAATTGAAAAGTGAATGTTGAAAAGGAACTGTTGATTCTAAAATATTTTTAATCAGCAGGAAAGAGCAGGTCAACCTCGCGGAAGTTCTGTCGGCATGCGTCAGAGGATTCCAGAACCCGTTACTCGAAATCGAATAATCTCGGGAAAACGGGTTCAGAGAGCCAAATCAAACAGACCAGCTCCCTCGAGCTTGAACAGGCGGACGAGTTCGAGTACTGGAAATACAATCAGAGCGTGCGTAGGCTTAACTCCAGCTCGATTCCTATGGAAGCTCAGCTGCTCAATGACCACCCACAGAGCCTTGAAATCATATCCTCGAAAAAAGATGATTCGGATAAAAATAAGATCCCCTCGCATCCGCAGTCCCTGGAGGTCATTTCAAAAATGCCGCACCATCAACTCGTTCACCCTCAAAGTCTTGAAACGATCAGAGCATCGAGTAAGATCGCTAATCCGACGGACGACAATAATTTACCCTTGCACCCTCAGAGTTTAGAAATGATTAATTCAAAAAAGGTAGGTTTTTTACATTTCTTGAAAATTTAATTTATTAATACAAGTTTTTGTACGTTTAATCGGATTCTTCGTAGGTTTTGCCGCAAAATACGATAAAACGATATCAACTGCAGTTGCTGCCATATCTGAGTTGTGGGTCGGAAATCGTGCATCCAATAGCCGAGCAGAGCGATGAACAAGTGACTGCCGAAAGCTCTGGTCGTTTCAATCAAGAGTCCTACAGCCCGTTACTTATGCGCAAAGACGATGATAGATATTTAAGGTTTGGTCATTCATCAATGATTTTTTGAGTATAATAATAAATGTAATTAATCGTATTTATAATGTTATCCTTGTTATTTCAGGTATGTTGTAGATACGACGGTCGACAATGATTCAGCTAATTCGCGTGATGCTCTGTTGGAAGAACCAAAGCCGATGTCAAAGAGAAAGTTGAGCAATACTAGTCAGAGCAGTTGGGATCTCTCTGATGGCGAGACTCCCAAGGAGAGGCGAAAAGAAAAAATGAAGCAAGAGGAGCCGGCTAACGGGGGCAGTATCGTTGGCATCGATTGGCTCTTTGAAAACGGTGAAGGCGAACCGTGGACCAACAAAAGTAAGATCAGGTTTTTTTCTTTTTCATTTGTCAATAGTACTCGTATATTGAGTAAACCTTGAAACTGAAAAAAAATTATTATAAGTCAAAGTATGGAAAAAATGGTATTAAGAATGTTTTGAATTAATGCTGCCAGTACTATGGACTTCGCAGAAATCTGACGATACAGATGCGTCCGATAGTATACAGACAGCTAGTACAGATTGTAAGTTGTTATTAGCACGCCCTCAGTCAACTTTATCTATGGAAACAAATCATTACCTAGAATCCCGTTAAAAACTACACAACCACGATTTTTTTTCAAATTTACTAACAATCTTCACACCCTTATGTAGATGAATATATGTACCGTCTCCTACACTATAGGCGACAAAAATTTTATCGTTCTTTTTTCACTTTATTGTGTTATGTGTAAATATGATAGTTTTAGAGCTATACTGTGTGTGAACTGACCTTTCCTTTATAGTGTACTTTACATAAACTCTTCATTAAAACAAAAATTTTCAATGTATAGTAAAAAAGATTTATCTCCCAAATAAGATCTGCAAGGCAAAGAGCCAGACTCAGGTTCATCAAGCACTACAACTCTGAGTCTCGAGAACGAAGTCAAGCGCAAACTGCTTCCCAGTCAATCAGAAGTGGACAGTAAGCGCCAGCAAGGAGCCATACCCAAGCAAAGTCGTGCCCGGCTCAACGCCATAATCGCCAGCAACAGCAGCAACAATCACAACAGTAGCAGTAATAACAACACCAGCAGCAGCAGTAGTAATAATAATATGAGCAGCAGCACCGACGCGGGCAACACTGACATAGCTGCAGGTGCAATCGGTGATGACGAGGATAACGTGGTCTCAGCCGCGGCCATGGCTGCTGTGGCTGCGACGCCCGATGCTGTGATCACTAGATACCGGCAGATGGCCAAAATGAAGCAGAAAAAGATGATAATGGCCAGGTTGAGGCGTGAGCGCGCGAGCATGACTACCAGCAGTAATCCTGGTGCAAGCACGAGCCACAGTGCTCCTATCGAGTACGACTCGAGTAATCTACAAGTGACTAAGCACAGACGCATGCTGCCGGCCACACCGACCAACGACTCGTTGATAACACTCGCGCTTCCATCACCGCCTGCCCCGATTATGCCAAATCCCTCGTCACCGCTGTTAGCTGCGTTGTTCCAGACAGGCAGGCAAGTTACTGCGACAGCGATCGGTGACCCAATGGATCTGAGAAGACCACCACCGCCGCCAGCTGCCGAGGCTCGGGGCTCGAGGTCTAAGTACAAAAGGCTGCACAGATCGAACGGCAGGAGACGGAGGCATCCTCGGACCAATCACCCCTCCCATCAGGTGAGTAGAGACTCTAGAATTTGATTTGTAGCATGCTTGATCAATCAAACTGAGGAAACTAAATGTTCGTGTATTTAAGGATCAGGAGTTTCTGGCACTCACTCATGTCCTGTACCACATAACGACAAACACAGACACAACCGAAGATCCGGTGCATTACTTTCGAGACGATACGGGTCGCTGGGTGGCGTACACGATAGACGAGAACTCGCCCACGTTAAAATTACCTGGAGCGATGACCGCGGCAGTGCCCAGCGGACCGCAAGGCCTTACCTCGGCGGCAGCTCGTTCTTTACCACCCGAGCACAATGAGCGCCTGCTGAACACTCTGCTTCGACAGCATTTGAATCAGAACCTATGTTTCGACCTCAATTATGCAATGTCCGACATAAATGACGCGCCGAGTCTTTCCAACAACAACTACAGCAGTCCGTCGGTAAATTCTGCCGGTCTCGCAGTGATTCTCGATTCTCCCTCGATGCCAACAATACAGACTTTCACGTCTCCAGTGAACAACAATAACCACATCAACATGAACAATAATAACAATATCAACAACAACAACAACAACAGCATCATCAACAACAACAACAACAATAACAATCATGGGAGTAGCACCAGTGCCATTGGCAACAGCAGCGTCAGCGTGAATGGTCAAACAAAGATTCAGAACCCGCTGCAGGCAAGCTCGTCAGCGGCGAGCGCCTCGAATCAGGCTATCGTTGCCTCGACGAGTGGCATCTGTACTCAAATGTACGAGGGTCCCACAGTGCCAACGCCGCAATTGCCCTACTGCCAATTCAACAACTTTGCCGACCGGCACAGACGACTGCAAAGCTTACTCGGGAATCTTGATTCCGTGAGCATGCTGTCCAACAGCACTCCCAGCGAACCTCCTCCACCCAATCAGGTTAGGACACATAAATTCGTACAATTTTTTCATACCCCTCCCCCCCCCGTCCGAGTATCGTTACCTGGCTTAAAGTATTTACAGATGCCGCTAATCACGCTACCCGCGCATCAAGAGAATTTATCGTGGAATCGCTTCATCAACGACTTCAGAGGCTTTGAGGAACTCAGTCAACCTAAGCCCAAGTCAACGAGGCACTACTACAAGTGGTACATCGGCAAGTTGCCACACATCAAGGTCCGCTTCGATCGTCTGTCCTTGCTTGCGCTTCTCGACCGAAACCTCACGCTCTTGGAGACCATGATGGCAACCCTACTGGCAGCCGCGGTCGCCGGCTTTGGCCTACTTATATTGCAGCAGGGTTTTTACAAGGACATCTTTGCATTTCTGTTTTGCTTTGTGATCGCAGGCTGTCAGTATTCGTTGCTAAAGTCCGTACAGCCGGATGCTGCGTCGCCAACTCACGGCTTCAATCGGATCATCGTATTTTCCCGGTATTTAGCATTTACAATTAAATTGCCCCCCCTCACACAATATATCACACGAATCCAATACGAAACTAATCTAAATGTACTTTCAGGCCGATATATTTCATCCTGTGCACGAGCATAATCATGATCTTAGATGTGTCGCTCCAAAGCTACAGCGGCTCGGACAAGAAGATATTCGGCATGAAAATCTTTGACCGCAACGTGATATCCCAAACGCGGAACGTTCTCCTCATATTCCTGCTCTTCTTTCCGGTCGTCTTTTCGCTCGGCCTATTCCCTCAAATCAACACGTTCCTAATGTACCTTTGCGAGCACATCGACATACACATATTCGGCGGTAACGCCACCACCAGTCTAGTCTCGTCCATCTATTGCCTCTTTCGCAGCGTAGTCACAGCACTTGTACTCTCTGGTTTTGTTTACGGTGCACTGGTCGAGGCCAATGCGACCCAACACATATTATTCTCGATTTTTTTGGGTCTTTTGGTAGCCGTCTCATACCACCTCAGCAGATCCTCGTCGGACCCAAGCGTTATTTGGGATATCGTGAAATCAAATATATTGCCGCAAACGTACTCCGGGGAGAAGCCAGTTCAAGTGATCGAGAACACGTCACAGGCTCAGCAAGGAACAGCGCGACGCGATCCTTCGCCCAAACGAGAACGTATAACTTCTTCCGGTCGACGGTCCACCCCAAAATCCAATACTTCCAAGGCCAAAAAGAAACACATGAAGATCGTTGTAAATGATACGGTTTCTGACTCCGATCTCGTCGATCTACTGCCTCAAAAGCTGAGATCAACAGTCAAAGCTCGGTTAAAAAACGACGTGATTGCGTGCTCGGTCGTTGGAATCCTGTCATTTGCCATTCACGCCTCTACCGTCTTTACTGCCCTTCAACCCGATATCTACACTTTTCTTAGGACGTTCACCGGTATTCTAGGTTTTCTGCTTCACTACGTTATGCCTCAACTGAGGAAGCAACTGCCATGGCTGTGTTTAGCAAGGCCGGTTCTACGAAGTTACGAATACGCACAATTCGAGGGTAAATTAAACCATTAGTTGTTTTTAACATTTTACCATCAAACTCATATTTTAATTTTTCTTTTTTTTTTGTTTCGTTTTCAAATTACAGTTAAAGAGCCAGTGAGAATAATGTGGTTCGAAAAACTCTATGTTATCCTGTGTTTCTTTGAGCGCAACATCCTCTACCCAATACTGTTTCTCAGCGTGATAACCGAGTGCGCCGGAACGATCAGCAAAAATTACGGATCCAGCATGGGTGCCATCATCATCGCCACCTGCGGCCTGAAAGCCTTGCGCTCTACCTACTCGGACCCTTCAAATCGCTACCTCGTCCTCATCTTTGCGGATCTGCTCTTTCGCAACGACTTTCACGAGCGCACAGAGTCTCTGCTCATCGACTTTGTCGTCACCGCCATCGCTTTCGCCAAGATACACGAGCTCTACCTCAAGATACAGTTCATCGTCACCTACATCGCGCCCTGGCAGATCACGTGGGGCAGTGCATTTCATGCATTCGCTCAGCCGTTTTCTGTGCCACACTCGGCGATGCTGTTCTTGCAAGCAGGTATCTCAGCTGTGCTAAGCGCCCCGCTCAATCCGTTACTTGGGAGTGCGATATTCATCAGCTCGTACGTGAGGCCCGTCAAGTTTTGGGAGAGAGATTATAAGACTAGACGGGTGGACCACTCCAACACGCGTATGTCGCTGCACCTCGAGCGTAATCTCGGTGCTGACGACAACAATCTTAATTCGATCTTCTACGAGCAGCTGACGCACTCGTTGCAGCACAGTTTGTACGGTGATCTAGCGCTGGGTCGTTGGGGCGCGGTTGAGCAGGGCGACTGTTTTCTTCTCGCCTCGGACTATCTGAACTGTCTGGTGCACGTGGTCCAGCTAGGAAACGGTCTTGTGACGTTTCAATTGCGTGGACTCGAGTTTCGTGGCACATATTGTCAGCAGCGAGAAGTCGAAGCCATCTCCGAGGGAATCGAGGATAACGACAACTGCTGTTGTTGCGAGATGGGTCATTCTTCACATGTGCTTAGCGTCAATGCGGCGTTCAGGTAATACTTTGTTCGTAAAAAGTTTTTTTGTGGAATTTTGATTGCTTAGAATCAATTTTTTTTTTTTTTTTTTCAATTTTACAGCCAGCGATGGTTGGCCTGGGAAGTTGCGAGCTCGAAATATGTTCTGGAGGGTTACTCGATATCAGATAATTCTGCGGCTTCGATGCTACAGGTTTTCGATTTTCGCAAAGTTTTAGTTACCTACTACGTAAAGAGTATTATTTTTTACGCTGTAAAATCACCAAAGCTCAAGCAATGGCTTGAAAATAAGGATATATTCGATGCGCTGAAGCAAACGTTGGATAAAAATTTTGTGGATCTAGATCCAGTGTTCAATATGAACATTGACGAGGACTTTGATTTTCGAGCCAGTGGCATTACTAGAAGTAGTTTTTGCAATGTTTACTTGGATTGGATACAGTTTTGTGCATCGAAACAGGATGAAGTAAATCGCTTTTCATAATAAATCCATGAAAATTAACGCATTTGAGGTGCTAAATTTTTTCTTAAAAATTACAGACTCTAGAGAAATCCCGAGACTCGTGCCTTGTATCACTCTGTTTATCTTTGAGTCTACTGGGAAGACGCGTACTTGGAGCGGCTTCTCACAATACAGTTTCTAGTGTTGAGTTTTTTCTCTACGGCCTACACGCTCTTTTTAAAGGTAAATACTATTATTATTACTATTAACAAAATGATTGTTAACTAGCAACACTTCGATATTTCAGGCGACTTTCGGATAACATCGATTCGCGATGAGTGGGTCCTACACGATGTAGCATTATTGCGCAGTGTCGTAGCTAAGGGCGTCCGTATGGCCCTAAAACTCCATCAGGATCATTTCATGAGCCCCGAAACATACGAAGAGGCGTTAGCGCTCTACAATGCCATTGACAATCACGATCGAAATATCGTCATTAGCCACGAGGCCGACCCTCTTTGGAGGAACGCTATCCTTAGTGGCGCACCAAGCCTTTTGGCTCTAAGGTATAGCTTGTTAAAATAAAAATGCCTTGATCTCTTGGATTTTGACTTTGAATTATAACTTTTTTTTTTTTTTTTTTAATTTAATTTAAGGCGGGTAATGGATGAAGGCATGGACGAGTACAAAGTTATTATGCTAAACAAGCGGTTCCTCAGCTTTCGTGTGATAAAAATGAACCGCGAATGTGTTCGGGGCTTATGGGCTGGTCAGCAACAGGAATTGGTATGCCTATGCGTTATAATGAACAATAAAACTACTTTTTGACAATTTCTAAACAATTGCAATATATTTTAGGTGTACTTGCGGAATCGAAATCCGGAACGAGGTTCAATACAAAATGCAAAGCAAGCCCTACGCAATATCATTAACAGCTCGTGCGATCAGCCTATCGGTTATCCCATATACGTATCGCCTCTAACAACTAGTTACGCCGAAACAAACGAACAGCTTTGCTCGATAGTTGGCGGCCCTCTAAGTCTCAACGCCATCAGAGATAACATTCTGCGCGTTTGGAGAAGGTACAAAATTAACATTTTTCACTCGACGCGCGTTGTGAGCTAAGTTAATTTTTATTAATAATGGTTTTTCGTATTGTCAGGCTTAGAAAAAAATGTGGCCAAGGATGTTCATCTGGTGGTACGGGGTCTCACGATGACGGTGGATTTGGTAATGAAGGAGTTTATTCCATGACAACTTACAACGTACATACAGGTTTGTCAAGATTTTGTTGGTTTGTCATCACACTCGACAATTTTTTTTTTTTTTTTACTGGTTTGCTCAACGATTAATATTTTTGCTAATAGGGTACAATCAGTCGGGACACAATACGTCGGGTTCTCAATCCATGGAATCGGGCTGTCAAATAGTCGGCTTACCGGGTAGAGGTTCACTAGGTCGGGGAAACACCAGCTCGGTCGCGGCTAACTGTCGAGGCTCGCTCGCCTCAATGGGTAAGCCAACCAGTTCAACGCTCGCTAGTCTCGCAGGTCTTCTCAATAGCAGTGACCTCAAGCCCGAGACGAAGAATGAAACCAGTTTCAGTTCTAAGCTTGAGAAAGAAGAAGTGCTCCAAAGAGTTAGGGCAAGTGTCTTTGTAGATTTTGATTTTCCGATTCCCTTTAAAACGTTGGAGTAAGTGTAAAGTGAACATGTATGTATTTTTTTTTTTTCAGATAACGGACGAGAACGCAGTGTACGATTCAATAAATCTGAACCGGCCAATCGATGTTTACTGGCCGGACGAACGAATGCGTCAGATGGGTGGACGATCTGGTTGGCTCAACTGGAGTCCACGCAATGGTATGGAAGGCTGCGTTGTGCACAGGTGGTTGCCCAACCATCGCGATCCCAATCACCGATCTCACGTCGACAAGGTTGTGCTACTCGTTCGCATTGATGATAAGTATGTGCCGATTGCAGAGCAAGGTGTGAGAGATCTCGGCGCAGAGGTCTAGTGTTTATTTATTTATGAAAGTACTCGTGCAATAACACGGTTTATCGTGTGACAAAAGGTGATCGAGAAGTGGATTTTTTTTTCCTGGATCACCATTGTTATCTGCGGCAATGTGATTTTTTGCAAAAACTAATTTTAATTCTCAGTCGTACCATTCATCTTCCAGTAAGTAACTTTTCTTTTATTTTTTTATTATTATTTTAAAGTCTGGAAAAAATATTTTCTTGTGATATTAACAAAAGTTGATCGAATTTCCATGATATTGTATTTTTTTTTTTTTTACTTTCTATTAAATTTTTGAAGAGTTATAAAGATTTTTTTTGTCAGACGAGCTAAACGTAGAATAAAAAGTTGGTTTCATTTTTTGTTATAAAAAGCGAGACATTCTCGTCAGCTATGTAAATACGGGTAAATGTAAAATAATTAAGTTAGTGTTAAAATCATCAGCAGCTAACATAACGTATGAAAGTTTTTTGCCACGATTGATGCTGCCAACACCAAAATCTTGTACCATAGTGTAATATAAAATTCCTTAAAAAATGCTCATCGTGGATTCAGGGAAATATTTATATATACAGCTGTATAGGTGTGTGTGTGTGTGTGTGTGCGTGCGTTAGATGTATTTTATTCTGAGAATGATAATTATTAATTGCCGTTCGAATGTTGTAAATAACAGATAGATAATTGCGATTTTCTATACTTTTGTTACTTTTTTTAAAGTCAACGTAATGGAACAAAATCGATTTGTAAATAAACAAAAACTGCTGTAAAGATTGATAATGTTGTTCTAACAAACATGTAAAATAGATAAACGGAAAAGTACAGCGAGACATATCGGTGCTTCGAAAAAAAAAAGAACGTGTTATATTTTTCATGCGTCAAAAGTGGAATTGGTTGTACATAAACTAATTGTTACTTAAAACTGATGTTTTTTTTTTTTAGAAATATCTTATTAGTAATTTTCGTATCCCCTCAAACGCACAGTTATCAATGATTACTTTATTTTATTCAGCATTTTATTACAATTTCAAGCCATAAGTGTGTTTCGGTCAGAATTATCGATGAATTTACGGTTATTCCAACATAAATTTCAGATAAAAATAAAATTTTGATTGTCTGCTTTAAAAAATTTGTTGCTATTCTCGGGTAAATAGGCAAAAAGGTAAAGAAAACCAAACAAAAAAAAAAAAGAATATCAACAACCTACGAGTTTGTCAATGAATTGATATAGGTTGTACTGATCGTTCGATCTTACTTCAATGAAAAAAAAATACGCAAATGTAAGCTGTAAACTTACAACACACATGGCCTTATATACGATGGTGTTGTGGCGGAAAAACAAAACGAGCCGACACCTGACTGATTAAACGAAAATATAAATAGATACTACTAGCAACTCCATTAGTTATTATAAATACTATTTATGTATATTATAAAAAAAATTAGCTAGTCTTTTAAACTGCTGACATACACACGCAAGTACTTGTACTGCTCGCTGCCAAGAGAACAGTAAAGTCTGACTCGACGGAGAAAAAAAAAATTGTAAATGTTTGAAAACGCTGAGAATTATTTATTTTGTTCATGTCTAATACAAGAAAAATGCCTAAGATCTCTATACTTAGTGATTTACTTGGCTGCTTGTTCATCATCAAGACTCGTTACATATAGATATTTTCGTGTTTATTAGAAAAAACTATAGCTCTTTATGTTGAAATTAAGGAGGAACGGGGAGAGGGGTACGTTTAAATGATCGGTTGTCTGTGAATCTAATTAATTGCTTGTAAAAAAAATTTATCTATAATTTTGCGCATTAATTACGATATGAAATTTGTCGTTGTGATATATATGCGTATATAGATGTGTATGCGATTATTTATACATTAGATCTTTGAGAATTTATTGAAAGTTTATTACAAATGATCAAAAAGTTACACAATATCATTTACGTTTTATCCATTTACAGTCATATATCATATATTTATGCAGAGTCGTCACTGTTTTTATACAAAAAAAAAAAAAAAAGGAAAAATTACCACGTATTCATATGGAAATACAAAACGTGTAACTTATGTACCGTTATACAAGTGTATACAATCTTTATAATTACGTATAATTTTTACCGAGCGCTTTATTTAAAAAAAAAAATTTGTACTTAACGAAATTTTGGTTTTTTCAACGATTCGCCAACTCCTAATAACGCTAAAACTTCCGAGAACTAACGATACGAGTAAAAATAACTGTAAAATGCTGTCGTGCCAAGGATCGTGAACGGCACTAGTATGCTGTACGTATGTATTAAAATTTGTTTTACCGAAAAATCATTAAAGAGCCAAACTTAAAAATTTATTAGTAAACTGCTAAAGAGCTGTGGCTACAGTACCATGATTTTTTGTGGGTTTCATTTTTTTAGGTCTATCTCTAAATGTACAGTTAAGTACGAGTCTTAATCGTTTGAATGCTGTGGCATACAAATCATTTACGACGTACAGAGCCGTGCACCAGAACTTTTGATATATACTGGTTCAATCGTTTTTAATGAACTGTTTAATGAACATTTTTTTAAATCGATTTTACTCCACCTATTACACAATTTTTAAGGCTTTCAAGGGTATACCCGATCACCATTTATGATTTTAATTTTACCCTTTCCTCTAACTCCTAACGGAGCAGCCTCGACGGGTTACTCTTTGGTGGCGGAAAAGTCTCCCCTTATTTAGTATACTTTAAATTAGTATAATTTAGATGCAACATTCCAGTTTTGAGGAATTTTTTTGTTGATCTTTTGCATTTTTACGTAACAAAAAAAAATGTAATCTTTGTCAATCCTTACGCACGTAATTGTTCACAAATACACTTAGGCTAACTTGTTCACTGCCACTTTTTTTCATCCATTCGTGTTTTCTGCCCGAAACAAAAATACCTAATAAAAGTACACGTAGTAGACGCTTATTTAGGCAACATTTTTAAATTAAACATGTTGATGTTGTTATAGTTAATACACCAAAAGTTCTGGTGCTAATTTTACAGTAATGAAAATTAGAGGTAAAATAATGTAACTTATACTAAAAAGAAAATGTTTTGTTTTGTAATAGTTGCGCAAACTGATGACGTTTGTAATTATAATATACCATAGGAACATGATCCAGAGAATTCTATTAATGGTTAACGAAACAAGTTATTACTATGGAAAAAATATTGATGATGAATAAAAACACGTTACTTTTTTAAAAAAAACTTCACCTTTTTTTATTTTCCATACATTTCACCACACATAATTTGTCGTTTGACATATAATATTAATTTTTTTAGTCTCTTGGTGATTTTTTTTCATGTATACAAAGGCATTTAAGCATTATGTACTACAACCGAGTGCACGTTTTAACACGCAGATGATAAACATTTGATTTGAATATAAATATTATAAATATAAATTAATCACATAAAATTAAGTTAAAAAGAAACAATTTCTTTATTATTTTACTATGGAAATCGTAGAAGATCAATGAGTTAATCTCAGGCATAGGCAAAATAAGATACAAATAGTACCTTTAATCAATAAAAGTTATCTTAACACATTAGCTTTAGAAAACTATCGAGTCACGATTTCTGAAAACATCTATATTTTACAAAAAAAATTTAGTTCATGGGTGCTTTGTGAATCTGAAGGTATATACAATACAACTTGCCCACGAACATATCACTGTTTTAGTTAATCATTAAGTTGCACTGTCCTGTTTATCAGGTGGATGATGGCCATTTGTTAACTTCTTTACCAAATTATCTATCATATCAGCTTCTACCAAGCCAATAAATTTGTCAACTACTAAGCCATTTGATATAGCAATCACAGCAGGAACAGCCTTCACTTCAAATGTGTGCACCAATTCAGGATTCAATTCCACATTAACTATGGCAAGATTGAGATCATCCATTGGCCCTATCATCTCTTCTAGCTTTGGTGTAAGTATTTTACAAGGGTCACACCATTCTGCATGAAAGTTGACTATAACTGGAACATCACTGTTCATAACTTTGTCTACAAACTCATTGTTGTCATTAATATCAAACTTTTTATTTGCTCTGCTTAAGAGTGATATTCCTCTAGAGGAAACTTGAAACAGTCTTCTCACAGTGGACAACATTTTCAACTAATTTTTGTCTTGTCTTTTATAAGTAAGGCATATGGTCTAGTGTTTTGAGCTTTAAAGGCCTCTAAAGTATTTTAGAAACTATTTAAAAAACCCAGTTTTTAATTCTCTGTGGTCTAGCAACTTCCATAAGTCCAAGTTTGAAGTAACTCACGATTGCAACTACAGCTGAAGCACCCAACAAAATAGTAGTAATCAAACGCCAAATAAAGAAGTGATCGTAGGGCTGAAATAGAAAAACAATTTTTACCTGAATAAGTACTATCTTTGAGTATTAAAATAAATCGGAGAGTAATTAACCTTTCTGCTGTGCATTTATTTCACAATAAAATGTTTTAGTACCACTAAATACTGTTCGACTACCGGATGAAAAACTATTAGGTATCAGTTAAAAACAACAATGATTCACATGTAGTGAGGATATCGTATAATGAGTTACTATAAATAAAAATAAATCCATTCGTCGGATTTATACAAATTTTTCCGGCCTTACATAACAAGTACAAAAAGATTTAAATTGAAATTAAAAAAAAAGCAATTAAAAACTCTGTCAGGCAACAGAGAGATAATTCTTTATCATTATCTACACACACACACACACACAGAGAGAAAAGCACCAACTTTGCATATATTAATATATATACCTTGTTTTCATGAGGGACGGGATGTTCGGGTGCACGAGGTACACTGACAAGTACAATGGTAATAATAGCAGCGACAGCCAAAGCAACGGCACCAATTCTCTGCTCGATGCGCAAAGACACCAGGAATACCAAGCCAGCTAGTACCCAAATAATCAGTAAGACGAAGAGGCCCAGACCCAGACCGAACGTGTGGTTTGTCATGCCCTCCTCCTTCTTCTTCCTCCTCTTGCTTATGGGCCTGCAAATTTATCGTCACGAAATATTTCAACACCCACGGCCTCTTATACTTCCTGACCTATAAGTACATGATATACATGATATTATCGATTTCTAATCTTCGAATTTCTATACTCTCCAGCTATGTGTAGCAGGAAAGTAAAGTCGTACATGAGATAGTTGATCCTCTTATAGGGAATGATTAATCTTACGAGATTGATTAGAGGCTCGCGATTTTTAATATATATGATCTACTGCAGATCGGAGATTATGGATTGAAGGGTGACATTTGCGTGAATGCAAGTGTACGTGTCGTGTATGATGCTTATTTCGATATACGCTGCGGTTACTATTTATATCTGCGACGAGGTTTCGCGAGAACAATTAAATTAAAGAGCATACCTGAATTTCCTGCGACTATTACAATATTTATTAATTTTTCATTGGTCGACAAATTTAATCAACTCTTGATCTCCGAGGTTTTGACATTTGACCCAGGCCCGTTACCATGGATACAGAGAATTCGTCTGCTTCTTTGTTTATGATAATAAATATTAGAAATTTCCACTGGTACACGATCAGACGGTTTTATTTTGTATTGGCAATTCAAGTACATAGTTTATGCTTTTTAAATTTCTTTGACATTTTTTACTGTAAAGTTCTTCTCGTAAAGTGTTTAAGAAATTTTCACGTATTCTTGTATTTTGAATTTAACCGCCATTTATACTTGCCGGGGACGCGCGTGCGCAGTAGATGAACGAGATAATTGCGCTATTTTTAAAAATACGATGATGTCAATAATTGTGACATTCTTTCGTTGGATACGTTTTAGAGTTCATACGTTGTCAGAAACAATGAAAAATTTATACAAGTTCGGTGATTTGCTTTTCATTAATTTTCCATAAAATTCATGCAACTCGTTGATTGAAAAAAAAAAATTAGAAAAGTAATCAAGTGCCAGTGAAAAACCAACAGATGATGATCCCTCCCCTGCAAACTCGTTTTGCTCAAACTTCTGTCTCTCGTTTAAACTTAATTACTCGTCATTCACAATATAATATATACTCACACTTTCTCGCAGACGTAAAAGTGCAGACTCGTATGTCGTACGTATAGTGTATAATATAGATGTACATGCATAAAAAGAAAAGCACGCGATAAATAATAAGTATGCACCGAAGGAAACGGAAAGCCGCAAAAAAGTCATTTTTAAGAGAAGGAAGCTAATAATCGTCGCCCTCCGCAGTGCACACATCGAGTTGCTGACGTAAACGACGATGATATCCTCGGACTTTCTAACAATATTATTTTCCAACGTAACCCAAACACGCGGAGAAATACGTTACGTTTAACGAACTTGTTACGGATTTCTTTTTTCTTTTCTTTTTTTTTTTCATGAAATTGCTGAAAAAAAAAAAAAACCAACACGTTCATCGTTAAAATTTAGTAAAGATTGTGTATACGAAAAAAAAAAAAAAAAAAAATTTATCCTGGACACAGGGCCTTGTGGCCTCCAATCGTTTACCAATATTTGTTTAGCTTCAATTGACAATAAAAAAATGGTACCGATTAAAAAAAAAAAACACACGTTGCCACGGATCCATAAATTTTTTTTTTTTTCTAACAAACCCTTTAGCACTCGGGCATGCCGTAAGCAAATATCCTTTGATATTCAACGCGATTGAGACATTCTTTTGAAAAATTTCTATCGCGTGTAAAACACCAATGTCAAAACACACACTTTTGTACATAAAACACGCATAGACAGTCGTCGGCCGTATGGGTACATCTATCGGTATGCCCATGTATAATGTGCTCTCACGGGGCACTTTGAAATAAGGATCCATAGGAAAACAAAGAAGGCGCGTCCTTGAACGTCGTTTCCCATGTAATGACCCACTGACCATCCATTATTATTTGTACCAAAAGAAGCCGGCTATCGTGTGAAAGCTACAACAACAACAGACGTACCTATATATATTAAGATGTATAACGGGGCAGAGGATATTTATATTATACATACTTACACCAGCATTATTCTAATGCTCGCTCGTAACTCTATGATACCCTCATTACTTAATCCCAATACTTACCAAGTACGAGATTTTAAGTTTGTCTCCCTAAACGACCCGACCTACGTTGATGAGCGACAATGTTATTATAATATCACTCGATCAGCGACCAGAAATAAAAAAAAAAATAAAAAACTTTGCTTTGCCAAGACACTTTTTTTCTGCATCGACCTGCACGTAAAATTACCTTTGCACGATCCTTCTTCTCCCAACACAAGAGACACACGTATAACTTATACCTGTAAAGATATATATGTATAAGATCCACCTGCATATAAGCAGTAGAGCCACAAACCGGCAATTAAATGAAAATCTTCTTCTTCTTCCTCGCTCACGTGTACGTCAATCTCCGAAAAGTGCACACATTTGAACCTTGTGTTGGAAAATGTTGCAACATTTTTTTCGGTCAAACGGTACAAAACTACGTATATATACAGAGAAGCATGTACTGTAAAAGAAGCTATATGTATAGATGTGTCATTGCGCGAACGCGATGTAAGAAGAAAAGGACCGTGTGTATTTGGATGACGTTACGGGCGCTATAGTTACGGTACCATTTTTACCTTGGCTTTTGCATGAACAATTTTTCGGGGACACCGCGGATTTGCGCTGGAGAGCCGAGACTTTGCCAGAGATGAGCTCGAATTAAACAGCCAGACGTGCCTCTTTTTACAATATCAAACTGACATTCTCTTTCTTTTTTTTTTTTTTTTTTTTTTTTTTTTTTTTTTTTTTTTCCGTACATCTCGGCCGATTATCTCCTACGAGTGACCCTGAACAAGTCTAATTATATATATATATATATTGTATTTATTAGCACAGTTTACTCTTAATTTATATTTAATATATTTTTCTCGCCAACACTAAAGCAGCGATGGTTTCGTGACAGTATAGAAAAGTTAATATATATAGTATACATATGAAATCTAATAGCCATAATGATATACTTGGGATGATTATGCTTTGTATAATTTACAGTAAGCGCCTATACTTATTTTTTGAAATAGTACTTCACATGATCCCTTTTTGCATCAAACCTCTCCGAGAAACAAATTTAATAATCCACTGTACACGTATTTAAACCATGTATATATATGTACGTACTGCAAACTTGCACACTCGCTTATAGTCATTACTGTTTGGGTCACGCTAATCGTCGTAAGGCCTTTCTCACTCGTCGAGACTGCTTTAATTCTCTTCTCTTATCTTTATCTTTGTTTTTTTTTTTTATTTTATTTTTTTTATTATTCCTCAAAATAGTCCTGTATTTGTTTTCCACGAGTACGCATGGACGGGGAATCATTGCGTGGCGAATTTCAAGTCAATTACCGGATGGTTTTAACCCGAGACCCGAAAGTAACGCGATTGATTGATCGAAGACGGAATCGAGAAAGTTGTCCGATGTGTTTCCTTTTCTCATCGCTATCATCGCATAATTACATACTTCTCTCGACTCTGCACATATCGATGACGGAACGGCCGAAAAATTCATTCTTACGCAACGGGTAAAAACCAATTATACGATTAAGTGCACACACGTTTCGCAAGTTGTATTATGTTTGCCTTCCACCTAGACAGAGAGGAACCATCAATTGGCCCAAAATGCCACTCAAAAGTATGCCCCACCGGACTTTCTATTTAATTTTTGTTTGCATGGAGCATAGCGACGCCGTACACATGTACGGTGTATTGTCCCAGTTCATCCCTTTCTTTTTTTTAAATCATTTACACTCCAACAGCTCCACTTTCGACTGATCTACACCAAGTATAGGTACTTCCATAACTTTTGTATATATGTATACGCACAATGTGTGTACACATTACGAAACGCCGACCAGCTTGTAAAACAATCATTCCTCCATGTATAATGTATGCACGGGAGAAAACATTTTTTCTTCACACGCCTGGTATGTACACTGAAAAAAAAAAAAAAAAAAAAAAAATGTAGCGCGAATCACTGGTTGCGGCGAATTTTTCGTCGATGTATACAAGGTACACACCTGTAGCCAAGGATGATAATGAATTTCTCCGCAAAACTTAGAAAGCTTGTACTTAGCGCGCCCGAATACAATAAAATATCTGCGGTATTTTCTCTGTGATTGCCAGGGGTGGGGGGCAGCGAAATTGATTCGAGATTGTTGCACAAAACGCGCGATAAGTATACACTTGGGATTATTATACCCGTGCGCGGGTGGTTTGACATAATATTCGAGCTGTAGTAGCGCCGATTTTACACTTTGCTCTCGTTCGTTTCGTCATTTTCACCGATGGCTTCTGAAAGCAGGGAGTGGAAGAAAGCTATACCTTTTTCTATCGAAAGCGGTGCCATTTACGATAGAAACGAGATTGAGAACCTCCGGGCTTAATTGATGGCTGACAATAGACGCTTGTTGTATACTAATGTTGACTTTAATCGCGCACTTCCGCAAAAGTGAGACTTGAATTTTTTAAAGAGTCGATGTAATAAGAGCCACGTGCTCCAACAAATCGGGAGGATCCCTTTCCCAAGCGCTCGTTTCAAAGTAAAAAATATCGCGCGACTCTTTCGAGTCCGAAAAAAAAAAAATTGTGGTTCACCATGGCGCGATTACCACACGCGACAAAGTCGATCGGTGACATAAGTTTACCGGACGTACATCGGAATTCGCATGGCAATATATACAAATATACAGCTGGACAGCCATATGGTCTTCCTTTTGGAGGAAAGACGTCACACCGAGTCTTGCGTGCGACTATACGCGTGAGTCAACACCGATCGAAAAAAATCCCGGTGGAGGAAGTTTTCGCGGAAAACGAAAGTGGATCTTAATCATTTTTTTTTTTTTTTTTTTTTTTTTTTTTTTTTTTTTTTTTCTCTTGATGACATATTTTGTCATCTAACATGTATAGGTTTTGCGTATAGGTAATCGATTTGTGGTTCGGATGTTGCGATGATTGATTTACATTTAAATAATATCGGCTGCTTTCGCTGTACATCGTGAAACGTATTATGGACTCGATGAAAACCAATTTAAAAGGCAAATCTGCTTTCGGCGCCAAAAATACCGAAAGTCCGTCAAATCGAGTGGCAGTCGAGTAGGTTTGTCTTAATTGGTATGGAAACGACGTAATCACCGCGTCGCACCCCACATATGTATGTATATACGTTGCAGAGGTAAGAAAAAAAACAAACAAGGAGTTGGTTTCGATCGATGCCATCTTCCTCGGTGGAAAAAAAAAAAGAAAAAAAAAGGTCCTCGAGCCAGTATGACATTAGCCAACGGAGAAGGGGCTCCTCGCGCGTCGTCTCCGCGGAGGAGCCAGAAGAAAGGATATACGGGCGGACCACGGGGTAGGGATGACAGTGGTAAAACTTGTGCGCG